CACACACACACACACACACACACACACACACACACACACACACACACACACACACACACACTCCACTGCTGTGCAAGCATCCTTTAAGTATGACTCACTCAAACTAGTCGTTAACATTAAAAATAAATAAGAAAAATGTTTCCTTTTTTGGATGTTAAGGAAAAGTAAATACCAATGATGCAGAAGATCCCAATGCTAATCTCAAACTGTACTCCTCAACGGGGTTTAATGTAAGGAAGTACATGAGTAAAGAATTTACTCAAGTTTACTATCTGTTGGTAGTACTTCATTGAGCATATACTATACTTTATACTTTTACTCTAGTACATTTTGGAAGCAAATATTGAACTTTTTACTCAACTACATTTTTCTGACACCTTCAATAAATTGCTTTTCAGCATCAGATTATTTTCTAAAACAAATATATCGTCTAATAAATAAAAACTGAAACCTATGTATAGGTCAAGATATCTAGCAGCAGTAAAGTAATTAAAATGAGCTTCCGTTTACAAGCTGTGATGCTCATTGGTTAATACAAAATCTAAATTCAGTTATTTAAAATATATGATTCTGAAAAGGGCCATTGTGCTTAACAAGTACTTTCACTTTTAGTACTTTAGTTATATTTTGATGCCAAGGCTTTTGTTCTTTTTCTTAAGTAACATTTTGTATGCAGGACTTTCACTTGTCACTTTCACATAATATTTGTACAATGAGTATTGCTACTTATATGCAAGTAACAACTCAAAGTACTTCTATTCTACCACCACTCCTCCTCCTCTGGCTGGCTTCATCAGCCTAAAGTCCACCTCAACCAGGGCTACTAGAGGTGCGGCTAGGGGAGACTGCACCATCCCATTTAGGAAAAGCGCATTCAGCCAGGCTGTCTTTTCATTCCACGCATCCCATCAATGGAATTCAATACCACAGCCAATAAGAGAATCCTCATCCTACTACACATTCAAGCACAGTATTAAAAAGTGGCTCATTGCAAACCAACAGTGTCAGCACTGATGTGTGGGTGGTGTGTGTATGAGTGCGTATTGTAAATGTTTTATTTATTTATTTATTATCATGACTTGCTTTTATCTGTATTCAGTGATGTCATCTATTGTAAATATGTACAATGGTATAACAATGTTGTGGTATTTTTTATTATTGCTTTTAGGATGTCTATCACCATCTGGCAAAGGGACTATCGATGAAAACTAGCCTTTTGGCTAATTCGAGTACTTTTACATGTTTTTAATATGTTGATTAATGTACACTGTCCCTTGTTTTAAATAAATCAATTCAATCATGATATCTAACAGTAACGGACATTTTTACCCTGGAAATGTTCTTTTATGCAAGTACAATTGATGCACAACATCAATGCTAAAACTTAAACAGCCATGCTAATATAAAGGGTGCCGGATCCTCGTACCTCTCAAATATCTTGACTTGTCTTGTGTTTGTTACATATCCTCCAGTGAAGCAGTCAGTCCTGAAGACAGTGAAGTGGCCGTCCCTCTCTGAAGTGGAGAACCTTTGTGGCTTCAGATTGGACGTGGAAGTCAAATGATATCACCAATAAATCACGTCAGCTTTCAGACAAAGAGCCTCTCCAGCCTCGCTCCAAAGAAAGGTCACATTCCTCCACTGATGTTTCACGACTGCCATGTAAATCTGAATGTTTTGATAATGTCATAAAGCTTATAAATCTAGTTTGAATGTTGGGATGGAGAATGGAGAGGATTAGGAAGATTTCCAGAAAAGTACTGGTTCTTGTGGCCAAGTTGAGCATCCAAGAGCAATATTTCTTCCCAGACGGTTGAGGGGCATCAGGTTCATAGTAATTATCAGTGATTAAAGAATGATCTTCTCTGGAAGGTGGGGGTCAGAGGTCAGGACCCTTCTCAGCAGCGAGACACTCCATTGACATGCACGATGGCTTTTGTCAATTGCCGCACCGACTTCTAAAAAGGAAAAGGTTTTATCCGCAGTATCTCCCACGCTCCTCGAGGGAAGGCAGAATTAAGTGGGAGTATCAAACTGACATGTGACTGAAAATAATAAATGATTTTTATTGAGCCATACTAACAAAACAGCCAAAAGTTTGCACACCATGCATTCAGAAAATCTCAAAAAAGCAACATTTCCATATGAAGTTCACAGTATATTGATTTCAGAGCGTTCCATTCAAATATACTAACTAGAAAAAACACACAATCAAAATGAGAAATTCCCACAAACAGAATACATGAGTTAACAGATTTAAATCATCTGTATCATTTCTAAAAAAACAACAAAGAAAACACAAAATGTTTTGTGAGGCAATGTATTATAAATAAATAAATAAAAGCCACTGATGCAAAACTGGTTTAAAGTAAACTACATTACATGGATTGGCAATAAAAAAGAACAATAAACCTAAAATGAATGCATCTAATTAAGACACTGCAACTAAAATGTTGCCATTGTGTAGTGGTTTGAAATGAATGGGAAAAACAGAAATGAGTTGCGACTTATTCTAAATACTTAAGATCAAGGAGACAGGAGATTTTTTAAATTGATTTAAAATCCCTAAACTCCCAGGCACTTAGGAATACTGAAGAAACTTTTTCGATAAAAGCAACAGCTCTTCAGTTTTTGGCCGATTCACAGCCACAGTTTGGATTTACGTTTAGCTGCGTTTCATTTAATAGGATGGATCAGAAGCTTTACTAGGTATTTGCAATCAAACGGCAGAAAAGAGATTTAAAAAAAAACATTTAGCACTCTTAAATCGGTTCCTTTGGGGGACAAATCGTCCCTCACAAAAATAAAGTCTGATTTACACAGGGATTAAGTACTATTACTTGCCCTGGTACCAATTAAAACATTAAATGCAGCATTTAGTGTTGTTTGAAGAACAATTCAGGTAACACTGGCATGGACACATCTGAAAACTTGCAGAAAAACGTTTCGCTTGAATATGATAGAGGGTTATCGGGCAGGGGTCTGTATCATAAAGCAAGATTAGTGTTTTGCAGTATAAGGAACAAAAGCAACAACACTTCACTTTTCTATACAGCTGTTGAAAAAGCCAGAAATATTTTAAAAAGTCTAATTCTTACACTTATTCATAGCCATGTTTAAAAGTATCTTCCTAACTTCTTATCCTATTCTACTTGTGCGATTTTACTGAATATATCCCTTTTCAAAAATATCTTCGTTAAGATGGCTTCTGTTGCTATGCAGTAACTAATGAGTATCCATAGAAATAAACAAACTAACACTTTTAATTTCCCTGTGGGTGTCTCTGTGTCTCTAAGTAATTCTCTCATGGTTCTTTTTGATGTTTCATGTAATTAAAAACTCTCTTTCACATGAACACATCTGCAGCTGGATCAATAAACACAGAGCTACCGGAGCCAGATGATAACAAGCTTTATGATTCTGGTTATTAATGATTGTTGATGGTAAACTCAGTGAAGCTAGGTAACCCAGGGACAGCCACACTAAGCTTAACTTGCTTTGTGATGCAGACCCCAGTGCTCTCTGTACATTTGTGTTATAATACCAGTACCCTGCTGGTGACAAAAAGCCATAAGGGCAACCAGGTAGCCACTTTGGCAACAGACAGTGTTCATCAACCTTCTCCTCAATCAAACTTCGGTTACAGCCACAAACAAGGTGCTTTCTATCTGTGGTTGTGTGTTTTAAACTAATGTCCCCGTAGCTTTTGGTATGCCGTTGCACAGGATACCTGCAGACAGGGCTGTGACTGCAGAGTTATGGCACTCCGTCTCCCTCAGTTAGTTCTGCATCAGGTACTGGTGGAAGTAGATGCCGAACAGAGAGCTGATGACCTGGCAGGCCGCCACCCACCACGTCAGGAAGGCGAAGAAACCTCGGAAGAAAAGTGGAGTGAGGACGGAGCGCAGCGCCATGAAGGCCTCTGTCAGGTGGGCAACTGTGGCCTGGACGTCCTCCTCCATGTCGTCCATCCCCTCTTCATCTTCATCGAAACCACCGGGCAGCACGGGCGCAGCTATGGGTATTATGAGCGCTGGTGTCACCCCGGGGGTCTGATCTGCATCGGCCTTCCACGAGAAGTCCCCTACAAGACCGGTAGAGATCAGTCAATACCGACGGTGGATGTTTTTAATATTTAAACTCCACTACAGATGCAAATGTCTCAATATTATTAAATAAATAGTTCTTCATGTTGGGAAATATGCTTTACCACTCTCATATCTGTTCTAAAAATAGATGACCACATCCAGCAGCTAGTTAGATATTCAGGTTGTTAACAGCTGCTCTTGCTCAGTGAGTAGGTTACAAAATATACAAGCATCTCAAACTCACTAATTAACATTAGCTAAATCTTGTTTAATCTTTCTAAAGCTAGCGTGTAAATACAGGGGGTTTATGTTCTGGGGGATACTTTGTCCGTAAATTGCTTAACCCTAATCCGCCAAACATTTTTTAGATTGGTATTGATTGTCCCATCTAACTCTCCAGACGAGAGCAAATCATTACCATAAATCTCCACTTGAATCTCTGGGAAAAGTGCAGAACAATAAGATCAAGTGTGGCTTCTTCTTCTTCTTCTTCAATGTAGCGGTAGTTTTGGTGGTGGGGTTATTTTTACTTACCTAGTGATTTAAGAGCAAGTGTGGAGAAGAGGATGAGAAAAACAGGAACCAGATACTGAAGAGTGATCACAGTCAGGTAGCAAAAGATACGAGTGACCTGGAAAACAACACATGTATTCTCAGTTTACTCTTCACATTCAGTTACTCTTTTCTTTCTCCATGTCAAAACTTCTGAATTTAAAAGTTTCAACCCTTCATTGTCTGAATATCTGACCTTCCTCTGAATGTCAATCGCAGCGATACGTCCCGCCTCCTTCTTCATCTGCTCCACCCACTTCTGAGCCAGATTGAGGTAGGCCTGCATGTGGTAGCGAGTCATTGCCAGCCGCAGCAGACACAGCACCACGATGATCCACAGGCGCACGCTGTCGAAGGTTTCACTGGAAACTCTGCAAATGAGCCATATGGAGGACAACTTACATTAGTGTGCTTTGTTTTTATGAGAGATTAGTGGATATATAGCAGATATGCATGTGCCCTCACATTGTGATAGTGGTCTTCCCCAGAGGTGCATTGGCCAGGAAGTCCCTTGCAATGGGCTTCACCCAGAGAATCATCACAATGACTGGAGACAGGAAACTCATGTGCAGCAGAATCCTGCAGGAAACATTATAGACATGTAAGAGAGCTGATGTATTTGATAAGACATGGAGTACATTGCTTGTTGCCATTCTTAAAGGTGGGGTAGGTAAGTTTGAGAAACCGGCTCGAGATACACTTTTTGTTATATTCCATGGAATGCTCTTAACATCCCGATAGCAATGAATATCTTAAATGCTTTGACAATAAATACATAAAAAAATGTCATCTGTGGAAGCCGTAGTACTGTAAAAAGCACGACCAATCATCTGAGCCGGCCCGGCTAAAGTAACTGGATGGCCTACCTGCCTGTCAGCCTTCCATCTGTTCACAAACTTATCTCGTGCCCTCATTGGTCATGTGCGCGTTCGTGTGTGTTGGAGGAGGGGCTCTGTAAGGAAGTGGCAGCCACCGGACAGCGGCGCCGCCAGATGTGTTTTCGGCTGAGTACTTTCCACACTCTACCGCGCACATCGACTGGTTTCCTCCATCTCTTCACTACCTCCTTTAAACGCTCACTTAGCGGTATACAACAGTACGCCCCTCGCTTAGCGGAGAAGAAAATAAAATCTGATTCAGACGTCTATTGTCTTCATTCAAATAAACCCGTCCAGGCGCGTTTAATTTTCTTCCTGACCCTGGATTAACCGCTAGACTGTACATCGTAGCACTCCCGGACTAAGGTTTACTCCCCAAGCCCTGGCTTAACTGTGCCTGGGCTGTGGGCTTTGAAACCAAACCGAAGAATACGATAAACACATTATTTTCACTCAAAAAAGCAAAAGCGGCAGAAGGGTTGATCCAGCAAGACCCAATTTATAGAATGAAGTCTTAATTGCTGAATCTCACAAGGATCAAAGATTAAATAAAACACTAGGACACTAAATGCTCGGGACACGGAGCTGGACTTCAAATGTGAGCATTTAAGAAATTGTATGTTTTTTAGTTCTGCGGTTCACCAATCCACTATTATCTTGCTCACCTAATTTCCAGGCTCTCAGCGCTTTTTCCTGATGCCCCCGCCTTCATACAAATTCTGAATGTAATTTAACTTTTTGTAAAGCCATGGACCCACCGCGCGCTACCCCTCAGGCAAAGATAGCATAGGTCGTACAGTCTTAGTGAAATAAAGAGGATGTTTCATAGATTGATTTCCTCCCATTTTCTATTTCAGATTCTTTATTCCCAACAAAGAATGCACTCATCTTGGTTCAGTTTGGTAGTACACACCTGCAACTCATTTATTGTCTGCCTTTTTTATCTTCGAGCAGGTTATGATTCTATTGTGCGGGAGCTCGGGTCAGTGATCGTTTTCCAAGACCAAAATATAAAATGGCGCACCACTCAAAAACCCCTCAACAAACTGTTCCCATGGGACAACATGATGCTTCCGTTGAGGAGAGGAGACCAGCAGATGGTCGGCCGACGAACTAGCGAAAATAGCAGGGCAATTCCAGCAGTGCAAGTGTTCACTCACGCAGCCTTCTTGGCGTTCTTGGACGGGGGAATTGATTCTCTAATGAACCTGCTGTTCGAGATGAAGCAGATGTGGCCAGGAATGTTCAGATCTGGAAGAGAGCGATGCTGGATGGAAACATGGAGGAGCCTCTGGGGCTTCCCCCTTTGCACATAAACAAGCCTGGCAGGGCATCTCTTTATTGCTACAGCGCGATGTTTGGACTGACGCCGACGGAGAGAAAGAGAGGAAAAAAGGTGGGTCAATATAAACAGCGCGTGATACATGATTATTCTTTGCACTTAAAGAGGATACATGATGAAGCTGCGCTGCGCAAGTTTCAGGTTGTATAGTGTGTATTTGTGTCCTCTACTTGTGACATGCTCCATGCTTTTAAAGTTAGGAAGAAAGCTCTTTATTTGTTCTCATACTCGCGCTTACGCTTGGCAGCTATCTCGGTTTTTCACCCTCTGTCCTGAAACCAGAGCCCGCAGTCTCTCTGATTGGTTATGGTGGATCCGGAACTCTGTTGTGATTGATCATACGCGGCTTAGGAGAGTGTTTCCGCGCCTCTTAGCCTATCACTAGTACGAACCTGGTGTGTGTGGCAACTATGCCAATAGGAATAGGCACACTCGTGTCTTTAGTTCCGCATGTCTACTTGTCCATTGTTTGCGTTGAGGGAAGGCACACGAGGAGCTCCAATCGAATCGGCCACTTTTCAGTGCAGGAGTGGGCGTGTCGGGGTGGCAGAGAATATATACTCCTTTGCCGGACCCATGTCATCAGGGCGTGGTATTCTATATCTCTTCGCTTCTTTTAGAGCTTGTGATGCTCGCTGAACTGCTGTGCATATCTCTCCTGTTTAGTCATCGGTCGCTTTTTTGAGCGTGCGTTGTGTTGCGTTCTTTTTGTCATTACTTGGTCTGTGATAGCGGTTGGGGGTTTTGTTGTGGGGGTGTAGTGACGGGAGTAAAAAGAAATGGCGGTCACGGTTGAGGTAGTATGGGCGGGAGGGTTTTGTTCTTTTCATTCCCTCTCCTTCCCAATCCCCTGTCGAATGCAGTTTCCATATCAAAGCGATTCCTCTTTCAGCCACCGTTGGCAAAGTCAGAGGATTTGGCGTCCGTTCGCCGCCTGGCGACGTTTCGCGGATGTGTCATGACGATGCCTGGCGTTCGCCAGAACCTGCCCTGTCACTCGCGTTTGTGCCTCCGCCATGGGCCCTACACGCTCCACAGTCCTGACACGCTGTGAGGGGGCCCGGGAATAGCGTCTAGGAGAACAGGAGATGACTCTCGAGCACTCGCGGTCAGATCCCAGCATGGCGGGTGCCGGGCAGATGCCACGCCCCCCACCTAAACCGCAAACGTCACGCGCAGCAGCGTTCGCCTCAGCCAGGCGCGGGGTCGTCCACGAGGCGGGCAGAGGACTTCCCGGTGACAACGACGGCCTGGCCGCTCGTCCTCCGTTCTATCTCACACTATATAACACTATGGAGAAAGTATATATAATTGTAAGAAATGGTTTTTCCCGGTGGCATTGGTCAAGCCAATAGTATAGGGTTGTTGGGAAAATATGAATGTCACTTCTTTCCAAATATCCCAGAGTCACCATCGATAAGAAAGGCTATCCCAACTGTAGCTGCTGAAATGCACAGTGCATGTGTGATTTATCTTTGGTAAGAAGGGTAGCATCAGGACTGTTTGAGCATATGATAGAGCTATGTTAGTTATACATGATGTTTACAGTTGACCCTATGGATGAGGTAGATGCAATTGTGACAAGCATGCTCATTTCGTGACGTGGAGCTAAGTCTGAAAGTAGACATGTGAAAAAACATTATTGATTTCCTACCATTACTTGATGATCTGGGTAAAATCTCCACTCACATTCTCATTTGGAGAATAAAAAATGTAAAAAAAAGCAAATTATACATAGCATAAAGATATGAGAGGAAAAAAAAGAAAGAGAAGAGAAGAGAGGAGAGAACAAAAAAAAAAGAAGAGATTAAAGAAACAGAAACATAAGTTGAATAGCTGCTGTAATGTGATGACTAGAACTTCCATTCTGAGAGAGGAATCATAGAAATAAACGATGGATGCCTGAGATTGAAGCTGAAGGCGTGGTGAGCGAGTGAGCTATTGTAGAGCCATGAAAATTAATGTCAGTGAATTTCTTATGACTCCTGTATTTTTTCTTCCTTTCCCCTAAAGGGCGAGCCATTTGTAAGAGAAGTCCTGACTGGACGACAGTGGCGAGGTAAGATAGTGCGCCTCCTTTAAAACCATTAGAGAAGTCCAGCACCGCAGCTCAGCCTTCGACTCTCTTCTTCTTTCTCCCTCTACTGTGTGGGCCTTTCATGGTCCTGTTTCTCGCATCCTTTAGCTTGCCAGGCAGAGCTTAATCCAGATCTTGCTCCTGTGGAGACTCGGGGATTCGATGAGCCGGTGTATATTGAGTATGCGTCGCGCGGCCGCAGTGTTCACCCAAGAGTAAAGCCAGACGCGCCAACCCCCGCGCATGCCCGTGTCACCAAAAAACCAGAGAGCACAACACATAACATTAAGACTACAGATCAGAGTGAGAGAGACAACACACACATTTATAAAATGAAAAAGATGAAATACCCCCACGCAGCGAGGACCAGACCCTCCGCACAGACTACCCCGCCGTCCAAAAACAGTGGAGAGATATGATAAGCTTCTAAACACTTCCCATATTGCTCACCTCCCTGTCCTCCCCTCGCGCTCAGTCAGCTTCTCTCTGCCACGCCTTTCTGTGGTTTCAGTTTATGGATTGTTTCGTAAATCCCTCGTCCTCTCTTCCTACTACCAAACCAAAGGGCCAACGCGTCGTCGCATTTCCATGTCTCGTGGTGGGCCCATGTTCGTGCCGCCGCGCGCGCGCTTCCTCCTCCGCTGCGTCGCTCCCACTCCCTCTGTTCCCGGGTACAAGGTCTCTCCCATCCAGAGTCCCTCGACACTCCTCCGAGCTCCACTCCTCTCACCGGTGGCGCGGGAAGGGAGTTAAATCTCGAGCTCTAGCTGAGTCCCCAAGACAAAGATTCCTCCTCTGGCCGCGCCTGTTCCACACACACCTTTAGTTTCCTCCCTAGTGGGCACCTGGCCCGCTCTTGCCTTACCGCCGCTCAGGCCAGTCGCCCAGGCCTCCCAGCGGGGGTCTGGGGTGCAACAAAATCCGTCACCTCTGCTGTTTTTTTTAAATGGGAACCTCAAAGTGCCATCTAGCGCTGAGACGTACCCAATGGCCGAAGCCTCTTCCTTCGACTTCTTGCTATTGTTCTTCGTCGGGCTCCTAGGAGTCCGTTGCGGAGAAGAAGTGAATCGGCGAGCAGGAAACTACCAGCAGAGAGCTCCTCAGCTGGGAGCGCCACCATCTGGAGGGCGGAGCTGAGAGCAGGAGTACTCACAGGGCCCTGGCCATCACTCCTCCAAGTCCACGCTCCCTTCTCTCCATCCACCACAACCACACCTCCTCCTGGCCCATCGCCCTTTCGATCACATCTCAGCCTATCGGGGCCGACCAGAGAGGGTGGAGATTCACCGGTTTGGCGTTATGTGGTGTTTGTTTCTTGTGTGCGTTGTTGTCCACGATATAAACAATATTATATAAATTAAAATAATAAGTTATTTATAATTTTCTTAACAGGAGTGTGCCCCGACGGGTGTTTGGCAGGGTGGGTTTGGTGGTCGTTGTTGGTTGGGGTTGTGGTTTGGGGTATAGTTGTTTGTCCGCGTGCTGCTGAAGGGGCCAGGCTCTCCCAGATAGCAGTCACGTGCGCAGACCTTGCAGACTCGCGGTAGCAGGAAGGGAAGCGCAAGTCTTGGAGCTTCCTGTTGACCAATCTGAGGCTCAAAAGAGGGGGGGCGACACAGATCCAGGGATCGTTATCGGGGGATATTTGAGGGATAGGCGATAGATGATATCTGTTGGTCTTATGTTCGGATGTTGCGTGTGGGGCGTTTTTGAGATAGAGATAGTATTTTGTACCAGAGAGATATGGGATAGGGATAGGGACCCCGGTGTATTCGGGCGAGACTCTCTATAGGGAGTAAGGTAGGGGAAACAGGGATGGCGAGATACGACCGATTAGGGGTAGGGACCGGGCATGGGAAGAGAGAAAAGAGACAGACAGAGATAGGGATACAGGACAGAGAAAGGAGATAGGAGAGGCACTGGGATGCGGGTTAGGGAGAGGAAGAGATCGGATACTCGAGGAGACAGGGATGCGGGGATAGTTTCTGTACCGAGCACATGCTGTGGATCGGTGATAGAGACCGCAGGGATTGGGCGGATAGGGATGGAGGCGCTCATATTTCGTTGGTTATGGCTTGATGGTATCGCACTATCTATCTCCGGGCAGCTGTCTCATGAACATCGCAGCTCACCCGCTAGGGGTAAGTCCTCTTGTCGCTCTCGTGCCAAGCGCGTCATCTACGTGCTCGTCGCTCGCCCGACCTTCGCTCTCCTACACGCCCTCAGCGCCGCGTGGTCCTCCGAGTCGTACCGGCGGTTCCATTAGGGTGCTTGGAACTCTACGGTTTCGAAGCGCCCTCCTCAGATCCGGTCCCTCTTGGCGGTGGACCCTACCCTCCTGCTGGTGGTTTTCCGGAGACCTTCCACCCTTGGCAGTACGAGAGCCTGAGAGGCAATTCACCACGCCGTCTCCTTCCAATGCAGCGGCTCCATAGGGCCTCGAGGTGGGGCGTGTCAAGGAGGCAACGGTGGCCCTCTGTCGTCCCTTCCATTTCGATAAATTAAGGCGTTGCGGCTTTCATGCCTGGGAGCAGCAGTGCCAAGCTTGGGCAGTCAGATGTGAGGGAATCGTACTGGCCATGGAGGAAAATTGGCCTGTCAGCGCGCCATGAGGGACGGGCGAGAACCGACGGACGAGGTAGTCAAGATTCAAGTCTTTTGATTGTCATGTGTGACAGGTAGCACTGAGCAGTATATAAGATACTATTCAATGAAAATCTTACGGTCAGTCTTGCCAGGCGCTTCCAAGCAGCTGCGACATCAATATATAAACAGATAAAGATTCGGAGTCGGCAAAGGCTAGCTATAGCAAATGTATATATTGGAGTAGGATATAAATGTACTTGATGGCATATGGAGACTTCCATAGATACTGTGGTTCAAGCTCATTTGGAATAGTTTTCCGATGTCATGATTAGATTAAATAGAAGTTTGGTAAAACGCTGCAAACAGATGAGTGTTATGGACGTTCTTTCAAACGCTTCAGCTTCCGTGTTAAGCAGTCCTTTATGGGAGGCAGCCAAAGTCAGAGGGTCAGCGTTTGAGTGTCCTTCGAGATCCAGGTATTAGACGTCGCTTTTCAAAGAGGCGTTAATATCTCCCTTGAAATACCTCTCATGTTCTGTTCCTCACCACCGCTTTTCCTTCCCGCAAGTGTCTCGAGAGGCATGGAAGGCCGTGCGTCGGACATGGCAGCGCGGGAGTGCGCCGCTGCTGCTTTACGCGCACTGGATAACATGAGGAACTATTGCATAGGGTCTTGCGAGAGGACGCTCCTCGGGCATCGCAGTGGCACTTGTCAGCTCGCAGCAAGGGCTGTGGCGAACTGCTTCTCACTATAGGCCGAGTCTGTGCTGTGGATGGCCGCGCAGCTCGGGGTTGCAGAGCGCTGCCCAACTCGGCCTGCCTCTCCCTGCCAGACGTTTTCCTGCTGTCGCAAGAGGTAAATTTAGAAGTCACCTATTATCGTAAGAATGACTCAACCGCTTCTTCATGTTTCTTCTAAAGCTCGACCATGTGTCAGCCTCTGTGACAAGCAGCACCTCCTCGCGAAGATCTCTGTCAGGAACACACACGATTCGCTCGTCTCGTTTTGCCGCTGATCCACGGTGGCGCTCACTCACAAAGAGCCCTGCGCGCAAACCGGAGCGGTCCAGATTTTTGGCCCCTTTGATGTCATAAACGATGTGCTGTCCGTTGTGTAACCATCGCCATCCGAAACAGGTAAGCCCCCCCACGCCCCGTTATCACCGTGAATCTCGCTCCTTACGAGACAAAGTTGTGGTTCTTTTTTAAGCCAAATCGCTCTCCTCCAGAGGGGCGTGGGGAGGGGCCTCCTCATAAGTTGCATCTAAAGCGCAGGCGACGCAGAGAACTCGCC